TTTAGCAGATTTGGTGTTTCAGCTATATTCATGGGGCTTCATTTTAGCAGATTTGGTGTTGCAGCCATATTCATGGGGCTTCATTTTAGCAGATTTGGTGTTTCAGCCATATTCATGGGGCTTCATTTTAGCAGATTTGGTGTTGCAGCCATATTCATGGGGCTTCATTTTAGCAGATTTGGTGTTTCAGCCATATTCATGGGGCTTCATTTTTGCAGATTTGGTGTTTCAGCCATATTCATGGGGCTTCATTTTAGCAGATTTGGTATTGCAGCCACATTCATGGGGCTTCATTTTAGCAGATTTGGTATTGCAGCCATATTCATGGAGCTTCATTTTAGCAGATTTGGTATTGCAGCCATATTGATGGGGCTTCATTTTAGCAGATTTGGTATTGCAGCCATATTGATGGGGCTTCATTTTAGCAGATTTGGTATTGCAGCCATATTCATGGGGCTTCATTTTAGCAGATTTGGTATTGCAGCCACATTCATGGGGCTTCATTTTAGCAGATTTGGTATTGCAGCCATATTCATGGAGCTTCATTTTAGCAGATTTGGTATTGCAGCCATATTGATGGGGCTTCATTTTAGCAGATTTGGTATTGCAGCCACATTCATGGGGCTTCATTTTAGCAGATTTGGTATTGCAGCCATATTGATGGGGCTTCATTTTAGCAGATTTGGTATTGCAGCCATATTGATGGGGCTTCATTTTAGCAGATTTGGTATTGCAGCCATATTGATGGGGCTTCATTTTAGCAGATTTGGTATTGCAGCCATATTCATGGGGCTTCATTTTAGCAGATTTGGTATTGCAGCCACATTCATGGGGCTTCATTTTAGCAGATTTGGTGTTTCAGCCATATTCATGGGGCTTCATTTTAGCAGATTTGGTGTTTCAGCCATATTCATGGGGCTTCATTTTAGCAGATTTGGTGTTTCAGCCATATTCATGGGGCTTCATTTTAGCAGATTTGGTATTGCAGCCACATTCATGGGGCTTCATTTTAGCAGATTTGGTGTTGCTGCCATATTGATGGGGCTTCATTTTAGCAGATTTGGTGTTTCAGCCATATTCATGGGGCTTCATTTTAGCAGATTTGGTATTGCAGCCACATTCATGGGGCTTCATTTTAGCAGATTTGGTGTTTCAGCTATATTCATGGGGCTTCATTTTAGCAGATTTGGTGTTGCAGCCATATTGATGGGGCTTCATTTTAGCAGATTTGGTGTTTCAGCCATATTCATGGGGCTTCATTTTAGCAGATTTGGTGTTGCAGCCATATTCATGGGGCTTCATTTTAGCAGATTTGGTGTTTCAGCCATATTCATGGGGCTTCATTTTTGCAGATTTGGTGTTTCAGCCATATTCATGGGGCTTCATTTTAGCAGATTTGGTATTGCAGCCACATTCATGGGGCTTCATTTAGCAGATTTGGTATTGCAGCCATATTCATGGAGCTTCATTTA